GGAGCGGCGCGCGGCGGCACCGACTGCGCCACGCGCGGCAGCGGCCCACCGCCCTCTGCTCTGTGTGTGTGTATAGATACATGTATATACATGTATACACACACATACACACTGCGGGGGTGTACACACGCATACAGAGACTGTATGCCCACCAGTTGCTCTCTGTTCCACACTATAAAAGTCAAAAACAGTAAGTGTAGGAAAAAAAGCATTAAACAATTTGTGTTTTTTAATGCCGAATTTTCCTTATAGAGTAATTCTATACTTCTATAATATTAATTATAGATTAATATTGGGCTTATTCCCTCTAAAAAAATCATTCCTTCGCATCTAGCCCCTAATGGTYCAAAGCTTCACGCACAGAGCAGCCAGTACAGAGCAGCTTTGAACACCCCACAGCCAGAAGGCTGAAGGAAAATGTTTTCATTGTAACTCTTAAAGGTTGTTTTTCAARCAGTTACTTGAAAAACACAAAACCAAAACCCCAAAACAACGCCCCCCCCGTACCCTCCCTCCAGATCCCACCTAAGCAGATCTGTATTTATGAAGGAATCTTTTATTAAACACCTTCCCCACTCCATTGGGAATTTTTGTTTTACTCATCGCTACTTTAAAGCAAAGTTATATTTAGTCCAAATTACTTTCTAATCTGTGTGGTAAAACAAAAATTAAAATCTGTGTGGGCACAGCCTTCTGAAAAAGCAGTAATTCTCATTTCAGTTTTCCTTCCACATGCTCATGTAGCACATTGCAAGAAGCAGTTAAAATAAAAAGCCAGAAACAACAAATATAACACAGATGTAACATACATTTTGCTAACATTAWATATTTCTATCTTAGAAAATGGTAATGCAGACAATCAAGGCAGAAGCACATTTCAGAGGAAAGCAAAATACAGTGCAGAGAAATACAGTGCATATAAAACTACTTTTATATTAGCATTTTAGAAACAACATGCATTTAAGCAGCACTMTACTACTGTGTACATAGTACTATGCATAGTACTACACAAATGGCATGCAGGACAGAAAAAGAAAGCACTCCTCTATTTTTCCCTACAATAAAAATTTAAGCATAATTCAAAGGTGGCTAGGAAAATATAATCTGAATGCAAGCTGATACAATCTGTTATCAGCGATGTTGTTAAATTTGACATGCATCAGGGCAATGTGTTACCCTCACTTTCTACTCACCCCATTTTATTATGCCTAACAAAAGTTAATCTAACAATAGTTTACAGTAAAAGCCAAAAATAATTCATGGTGCCTCTTCTGTACTCTCACACCACATTTATTCTAATGGCTCAAAGGTGTAATAAAGAAAAAAGTCACTATCTCTGCACGCAGTGAGACTGTGCAGCTCAGAGGCAGATATCCCCTTAGCCCCCCACCTATCTGCATTTTACYACCATCTATATTTATTTTTCTGGGTTTTTAAAATCTTTTTCAAAGAAAAACACTAATAACAAAGTGCCTGATAACACAAGCCCTGTGCTGCGATGCAGCATTTCATATAGATTATTAAGCCAAGAGATAGCGTTGGAGATCTTCAAATTACTGTATTTACCATAATATGTATTATGTATGTATATATGTATGCACCACCCTCTGTAGATCCATATCTTCCTGACAGACACATGCACATACACTAACATGAAATATCGCTTATAAGCAAGCAGCAAGTTTGGGTAGGAAAAAAAATATATATTGTTGATTCTGGATATCCAGACTCAACATTTCAAGTATTTGTAACATCCATGCCAATTTGCCATATTTTTATCATAATTAAGTCACAGATGCTGTGCATTTAAAAGGTACTGTGGTAAAAATGACATTTATCTAAGATAACATTTTGCATACATAGCAAAAAGACTTATTGACCTGTATTTTCAATGAAGCAAAAGGATGGGGAAAAAAGGAAAATCAGCAGTAGAAGGCAGAAGCTTTACTAAGAGTGAACAATGTCTACTAAGACTAATAATAGTAATGAGGTTGGGTAATGTCTACAAATACCAGGCAAATTTATCCTAAGTTGAGGGTAAGAAAGAACTTGGATTCCAGATGCTCTATATTCATCAACAACTACTTCAAGAAGAAAAGGTGCAGTTTTCCAAACCTGGTATTTATTTATCTATGTTATTGAAAAAGGACCTATGGCTTAACAACGTCTTTTAATTTCAAATTTTAGGTGGTGGAAAACAGTTCAAAAGTGATGTCAAAAAGCAGCATCAAACTGCTATCGACCATCATTATCACACTGCTAGAAACACCATTAAGTTTATTCTGTGCTTTTCACTCAAAGAAAACGTCAAAGCAACTTATGAGAGGAGAAAACCTTCCCCTTTTCATGAAAAGAAGAGGTACAGGAGCACACATATATTCAGAACCAGGCTGCATCTGAAATGAAGCCCTTTCTACTAGAGCACTATTGACTTGGGAAATGACTACATAACGAATACACCCYGCTGTAACGCAAACAAAAAGTTCTTGTGCATGGAGTGCCAAACAATTTGGAAGAATGCAAACATGTATTTCCACCTGGAATGGAAATATATTTTGCTGTCATCCTCCTCACATAAAACAAATCCAATAATTTTCCTGTGAAAACATTCTTTTCAAGTCACTCAAAACTTCACACCTGGTTTGGTGTTCAAGCAAACTGTTGCTGGAAATTATATACATGCAGAGCTTGGTTTACAGCTTAAGTTTCTCCTTTTAGTATTGGCTTAAGCAACTAATTTCCGTCAGGGAAGAAGAAAGGAAAAGAAGAAAGTAGGACCAGCTAGCCCATAGCAGATAAAGCACAAAGGCAGTAGGTCTCGGGCAGCCACCTTGTCAGCCTCCTCTGGTTTTGCTTCGGCAGTCCGCGGCGCCGCAGTCCACTGCTTCTCCCTCAGAGGCGGCGTTTTCAATTGGAAAAGGTAGTCTCCTTTTTTCTATTTAGTTTTCATTTTGTAAAACCAGTGTAAATCATTAAGCAGAGACAGACACATACTACACAAACACAAAACCAAGCTGGTCTGAAAGCAACATAACATGGTAAATGAGAAAAATAAAGGTAAAAGTGCAATACCTGGAAGTGCCTCAACTTCAACACAGAGAGATCAACATAGAAAATACATACAACCACATAATAAAAACAACTTGCACCTTTGGAATGCTTATTGTAACAGGGAAAACAAYAGTACTGGTGTTAGAGGAATCAAGGTTTCTGGAACATTTGAAAGCTTGACTAACATTCATGTCTGCACATATACAGCTACACTCACCTGTAGGCTCTTTGCCTGCCAGKGACCACATTTTTAAAAGCAATCATTAAAGAAGCAGCTGTGGCATCTGCACACCCCTGCTCATAGCTCAGCACACCTAAGGCTGAAGGAAAGCCTTGGTAACACAAATCATTTGATAGCACCAAGGAAGCTTAATCAGGAAGGTTCAGCCCTCTGGGGCCTGAAGACAAAGCTGAACAAGTGCAGCGGGATTAGGATGACACCACATTTTGGGGCCTGAGGTGGGGACAAAGCAAGGGGACAAAAAGGATAAAAGGTAAACTGTCTGCTTTTGAGGACCGATYTGCATTTCTACTCAAAGAACCAGCAAATAACTCCTTGTAAAACTACAAGTTTCAGAACAGCAACAGAAGTTTCTTTGAGTAGTTTTCTGGCCACAGACATTTAGGATATCGACTCTGGAAAACTTTTTTCCAAACTGTTCTATTGCAATTCACTCATATAGGAGATAGGGAAAACAATAACAGAGGTRAAAAGCTTTTAAAAGTTTTTGACAACAAGGTGAGTGGATTTTAAGAACATCACTATGTATTTCTCAAAGAAGCAACAGTGTCAGCGACCAGGTCGCGTAGAAGACCTCCCGAAACGCCACACAGCAGCTTGCACCCCCCCAACACCTCAGCAGTTATGGGGGCGATGCAGAAAAGGTTCTCTTGCCACTGGAAACCTAACTTCATAAAACCTGCGTAAACCAGAGTGGATTTTAAGCTCAATTTAACAAAGCAAACCAGAGCCATAACTTTGATTTTCTTCCAGTGACTCCAGCTCAGAGCAGCTCTCCCAGGAAAAAAGATCCCCCCCGAGACAAGGGAAGCGAGGCCCAACAGCCAGCGGCAGAGAGTTAACACACGCCTGGCACCCACAGACGCGGCAGGGGCTCGGAGGGCAGCGTGAGGGTGCAGGCCTGCGGGGCGGGAGGGAGAGGCGCATGCAGAGGGCAGGGCGCCACGTACCGCGGGTGCCTGCAGGGCCGCAGGTGGGATACGCCGCTTTTCCCACGCGCTGGGACGGGGCTCGGGCGTGGACTCCATGAAATTGCGCTTGAGCTCACTAATGCTAGCCTGGTGTTTCAGTAAGTCGTCCTGGGTCTTATCCAGGTCCTAGCAACCCACAACGTAAAACAAAGTAGGACAAAACACGACAACAAAAGCAAACTTAACTGTAAAAAAAGGAAGAAAGAAAAAAAAAGGAATCAAACCAAGGAAAGTGCCTTGTGTATGAAGAGCCAGTCGTCTCTGAGAAGCGCCTTAATGTAAAATAAAATTAAGGCCATAAGGAAACTAAGTTTTTTTGGTTACTTAACAGARGGCTATTTTGATCCAAATATGATGCTATTAGCCCTTCAAATTAGTAATAACTTCCAGTAGTTGCTTGCTTTCCTTGAAAATGTGTAGACGTGGAAGCAAACTTTTAACACATGGMGCATTACAAAAATGCATCCTTTCTACTGCAAGTCCCAGGAAAAAGAAAAAAAATGCACGGGCGTTACTAGAGCCCCAAGGATGCAGGCTCCTGGCAGCTGCTGGACTTCAGAGGGACTACTTGTCGTGCCTATCACGCAGGCCTGCAATTATTTGAAGAATCAGATTTAAAGACTTTCATCAGTCAATAACACGTTGACTGACTGCTGACAGAGGATAGTCTTTGTGGATGCCAATGCTTAAAGGAAACATTCCCTTGAAACTGCTCTTCCACAGACAAGCACCAAAGGGGACACCACAGTGTGAATCAAGTTATGTTTGTTATTTTCATTCTCTCCTTTTACCCTATCAGGTGCAGTGAAAACCCTAGGCTGGGAATGCACAACACCTGTTGAATATTCAGTGGTGAAATTCAAGACTCATAGCCACCTTCAGGATGGAATGGTAGAAGATCTACCATTCGCTGAAGTTAAAACTGCACTGTTGCACCCAGCAATGTGATCATAATTATTGCTGAAGTTTGTTAAGAATATAATTAGATATAATAATTGAAGCAAAGACACTAGATTTGTAGAAACATTTCATATACTAATTAAAAGACTAGTCTGAAATTTTACTTCAACACTTTGGAGAGGATTTTTCATGTTCTTAAATGTTTTCAGTACAAAGACCTGCATTAAATAATGAAAAATAAATAAAAAGCCACCAATACGCATAACTCCTCAGTTCTAATTTCTTTTGATTGGCTTGTCCAGCACCAGTAAGATCTTGGTGCTGGACATTTATTCCCAAGTTCTGCAAATGTTTGCACACGCACTTAGTGTTGAATGCTAAGAACCCTCCTTCTGGCACCTCAGGCTTATATTGCTACAGGACTAATCCTTCAGTTTTAAATTAGGCCTAACATGCAAGGAATGTTAAATCTGTCCCTCAAAGTACCTATCCATTTTGTGTATTAAAAAGTAGATCAAAGAAAATCAAACAACTGAAGCTAATAACAATTCTTATGACATAATTTTAAAACCTAAAATCTTGGCTTGAGACAAGGCACGTTTCTTGGACTTGTTCAGAGCAAAGTTAAGCAAAACACACTTGTAGTGTTTTAATAAGTTATACACAAGCAAAGTTTGAATAGTGATCAAAAGCTGCAAAAAGCCAAAAAATGCATTAGTTCAGTTACAGTGATCCATACATCTCCCCTTAAGACTGGTCAAAAACGATGATTACAAAGGACTACTTTTGTGACAAAGGGATTTATAGCCCCATTTGGATGAATAAAATAAGTTACGGGTCAGTTGGGATTTTCCAGTTTCTTTAGTTGCTGTGTATGTTGTTAATCACAAGTTAAAGGACACTGACCACAACTAGAGATAAGCTATGATAAAATTCTGTAGATTAGCAGACTATTTGAAAATTCCTATAATAAAATCTCTACTTYAGTAAGAAGAAGCTTAAAGCTCTTTATAGTTGCTCATCTTCTCCACGAGCCAACCTTTAGGAAGCAAAAATTACTTCCATTTCAAAAATGAAATAAAGCACATTTTTTTAAACATAAATTTTCATTTAAAAAKCTAATCCTAACAAAAATTTCCCAAAGCTGGTAAATCAACACGTGTCAAAGCCAAAATTACTTTTTCAATACTTCTACCACTGCTTGTGCCTTATTAGTCCCATTTATTCAATAATGTATCGGATAACTGTCGATTAAACTGGTGGAAACTCAAAGCCCTGCTCCAAAGATGCCCACCTTCAGCAGCCATGTCTGAAAATGCCATTAGGATGATGAATTGGACCCCTCTGAGTTATCTAAACRGGGCTATTATTCCCAATTGTCACCTTGAAAACATCTAGCAAAAAGATTTTTTTTTCTTCTTAAAACATGAACACTAGAATTACAACATGCAACATGTCCACTTTGCCCCATGCACTTCATGCACTGTGTCCATAACAGCCTGCAAGTGACCTCCCATCCCATGCAACCTGGCAGCCACGAGAAGGGAAAGTTTTCCTTATATTATATACAAACCTCCAACATTAAATTGCTATGTCTGACATAAATATTTTCCCCGTCTACTTTCAAGGAATGTAATTTCTGTGAAATTAAGCCACACAGACAAAAAAGAAAAAAAAAAAAAAAAAAAAAAAAAAAAAAACAAAATATATCACTGAGTAAATAAAAATGACCCTTAAAATCAAACAGTTAAATAAAGAAAATAAAATGGTAAGGTGAAGAGACACTATTCAGACAAAGTCCACATGAAACTTTAAGGTACTAACAAGGCAGGCAGCTACAGCTGGATTTAACTGTTAAAAAAAATTAATAAATCCACCTTCTGCTGTGCTTCCTCCTCTTCAGACTCCAGCTATGTAAGCACATGGCAAATCATCAAGAAAAGGAGCTGTTAACATCTGCTGACGCAGTAACAGAGGCTTCAACTCATTGTAAATGCTGCAAACCACATGCTAGATTTACAGACCTGTCCTCTTTCGGCCCCAGATGTTGCTGAAATTATTAAGCGACTCTGGTCTTCCTTCACCTATATTTGTTGTAGAATGGCTGAAGTAGTATTTGGCATAAGTGGAATGAGAAATGGAAATTTCAGCACTATGTCCCTTACTTGCTGTACTTTCTGGTGCTTTTCCCACGGACAGATGAAATTAAGAAGATAGTAAAGAAGAAGGCTGATATGTATAATTTCTGTGATAAAAGCCTTATACTCTGTGACAAGCTGATAGGAAAATGGAGTTTAATGCATGAGTGTATTTTGGGAAAACGATCTAGGCTTCAAGCCAAAGAACTGCCATATGAAACTGCCTTGAATCCTCGGGGAATGTTGCTGTGGGGGGAGCCCCTTGCAATGGGATTTCAGGCCCTCCCCACCTTACTGTGGCTCTGGTGCAGTGCTGGAGAGAGGCCTCCGGAGCTGGACGCTCTGCTACGGGCTGAGGCGCTGCTGCCTTTCGACCACGCACGGCCGCGGCGTCCATAAGGCCTTTACTCATCTCTTGCTTAGCTGGGGCTTTACGTTTTAGGCAACTTCCTGCTACATGCTTAATCAGGTCAGGGAAAAATGGAGATGTTTAAAGTCACGTTTTTTTCACTACTTTAGACTTTTGGAGATTTGTGTCTTTTAATGAAGTCACATCACATTTAGGAAGTATTTAACACATTCTTTTGACAGAATCAGCTAAACTATTAAATATAATAGAACAGCACCCCTCTTTTTCRGTTCTATAATATTTTGTGTCATATTTCCATTGGAGGCTGACCACCCTTTCTAGCACAGGGTCTAGTTCTGATGGCAGGCACAGCAGACCCAAGACAGGAGGCAATTTGTCAAGTGCCCCAGAGCAAAGTATTAGTGTGACCTAGGTTTCTGTCAAGCCATTTTAATAGTACATTTCAAAAACTGTTCAGATTGCAGTGACTGAAGTCTGACGTGTAACCTGCAATCCAGTCTAATAAGCCAAATCAATCAGTCTGCACCTTAACTATTGCCAGAGATTAATGGAAGCCATTAAAAAAAAAAGAAGTAATAAAAGCGCTGTGAACAGGCTCTGCTTTGCACACGCCCTTGTGGAACAGAAACATCCAAAATCTGGAAACTAAAAAGCTCATTTTAAATTCACATTTTTCTGAACTCAAACAGCTTTTAGAGTTTCAGTTTTCAGATTGAAACAGAGCTCTGAGACATGTTTTTCAAAGTCAACGTACTGAGAAGACATGCATTTTAATCCACAAATAAGTTGCTGCTGCAAATAACACAACAGAATAATGTTATCAAAGCAATCCTATTTATTCATCTGTTATTTCACTCCTTAATGTTTTGAGCTACCAGGAACTCTACCTGAAGCTCAGTGCCTCTGTAGTTGAGGGCAATTACGCATGCGGTATGAACTCAGGCAAAAGAAAAAAAAAAAAAAATTATTTCCTGACCAAAACCCTATGTTGGGTACTACTGAGGGCTATTTTTGGCAAATGAGAGAACTTAGCAAGAAACAAATACGTGTGTGTGTGTGTGTGTGTGTGTGTGTGTGTGTGTGTGTGTGTCTATGTATACATACACATGTACATATACACACACACGCACACTCGGAAGTGTGCAAAACTGAAAGACCTCTGGAAGAACTGCTCTGAAAGCTACGTGGAAGCAGCAATGTCTAAGCAGCAAAATTACACACCTCCTCTTCCTCTGCTTTGTCATTCAGGTCATTGTCATAAGAGGTGACAAATGCAGCCGCCTTAGGCTCCAGGTAGCAGAGGGACAGAGCGAGAGGAAGGGAAAATGTGAGCGATAAAGGAATGGACTGGAAAGCAGAGAAAAGCAGCACAAAAATAAGGAGAAAAGAGGGGATGAAGGATGGGGAGGTAATAGGGACGTAGTGCTGAAGGCCGGGTGGGAGGAAAGAGATGCAAACATCAGGAAGGCTGGGAAAACTCAGATAACCGTCCTCATCAAGCAGAGAGTGGAAACTAAAAGGAAAGCATCTGATAAAGCTGAATGAGATGCAAAACTCRGTGCTTTTGTAGTCCTGTTTAGGGATTTTTCCCTCCGTTATGGGAGGGCATSGACTAGCTAGGGGCCTYATAGCTTCAAAACTGTCAGTTGGTGAAGGGATTTCTTTTTCATTCTGAGCTAGGGTTCCTTTCACGGGACTGCACTCGGAGATGTCAGGGATGGGCTCGGCAAGGGGGTCTTCCTCGGCAATATCGGAAAGCCTGTCCCTCTCAGGGATGGGCGGCAGCTCGGCGAGGTGGCATGACACACAGTGCGCGGGCGGTGGATGTATGGGAGTGAGCTGGAGAAATAAATTCTGCAAATGGTGGACAATGAAAATACAACAAAATGCACGTTTGTAGGCACAAGAAGAAGGGAAAAAGAGAAATGAGTAGTTAGTGAWTTTTTTTTTTTTTTTTTTTTTTTTTTTTTTTTAACTTAGAGGCAGGAATAGCTCTAATAATGCAATAGAAACMCCAAGTAAAAGTAGAAAAACCCCTCATGTTTTATCAATGTCCAACCTGTTTACCTCCACGGCTTATGGAGCTGAACCCATTAGCCCTGTTGTGCTCTCAGGCTGTGAAAAACTTTGCACTTCTGAATTGTAATAGTCACTACCAACAGATGGGAGCAGAGAGACATTCAAAGCTTTGGCAGAAAGGCTGGGGGACAGTGCAGCCCACGAAAGACAAGCTGCCACTTTGATTCCAGGCATTACARCCATCTCCCCTAAGATTTAAACAGAGTCAAAAGAGAAAAGAAATATCTTCTCTAGGAGGGAGAGAGAGCTGTTCATAGAGCCGGCATGYGTAACACAAGTTTCCAGAACAGCGTCATGGAACAACTTTCCAAAATACTGTTTTCTGTTTGTGTGTTTTGATCTGGTGAAAAGATTCAAAGATACCATCGCTTTGGAACCAAGGAACTAAAATTATTTTATATTATATTATTAATATTATTTTATAAGGCACAATAATTTAGCCATTTTCTTCCCATTAAGAAGTGTGCATGTGTGCCTAGACTAACCCAAAGTTATTCAAACTTGATGGGGGGGGGGGTGGAAAAGAAAGAAATGCAGCTGCTGGTATTTGTTCCCTTCCCACACTGGGAAGAAGTGGGAGCACGTGAACTGCACTAAGAAACTCAGCAGAAAGAGACCACAAAGCTAATTAGTCGTGTAGCCCTCCCCACAAACCAATCCTTGATTTCAGCATGTTAAGCATCCATGGCTGAAGGTTTTCTGCAGTACCTACTGGACCAAGAATATTGCTATCTGTCATAATTACTTAAGAACAGCCATGATATATCCAGCTTCATGAAATGCACACAACTGTAGATTTTTTTTTAAAAAAAAGTCTGAACATACAAGAAAGACTCAAATTCTTACTTATCTTTTGCATATTTCTTTTTCCCCTCARACTCATGCCACCTTTGAGATGCTGTATTAAATTAGTAGCAATAAAAAAGAAAACCCTAAAAAGAGTCAATGTTACACAAGGTTTCATTCTCTTTGGCTTGTATACACACATTAGGATAAACATACAAAAATATTTAAAAGCTATCCCTAAATATTTGATATGGTGTTCTGTACAACTCTGAAGWGGTGGGCACTAAATAATCCCATACTCCTCCCCGCCTCCCGCTCCCCCCCCATATGAACAAGGACTTTGGTGTGCAAGCCAGCCATACCTTTCCATCCTGAATCAATTCTAACTGTGGAGTTTTGACTGGGCTTCCATTTTCTTCTCTGCTGCCTTCTTTTAACTTGGCCTGACCAGCACCTTCAATGTCGAGGACTTTATCTCCAGCAGGTCCTCCTCTGGCAGTAGGGAAATCTCTCAGCAGACTTTGGTCTGAGATACCAATAGGAGCTATTAAAGAAAAAATGTTTTTCAGCTTTTTGCTATGTATCATGCACTTAGCATGCAAGTACATGCATGTCATACTCATGATATTCGAGTCAGGTAGATATTCAAAATATATATATATATATATTTAAATATCAAGTTTTCGATTGTTCTTGAAAGATATTGAAGATATTACTGGAGCAAACCACCACAACAGCAGCAACCAARAAGAAAGCAGTGCTGGTTACATTCTTGCTAACGAAGCCCAGCATATGCTTGTCTCTCTTTGCTGTGAGGACATAATGTTGACTTGTGCTCCACCTTGTGCAGGCAATTGGCTCCAGCCTTTGCTGGGGTGAGGGGTTGATTGCTGCCCAGGTGCAGGACTTGGCTCTTTGAGGTCCTTCTAAAAAGCCGGGTGGACAAGCAGGGAGAGAGGCGCCCAGCAGAGCTCAGCACGGGAGGGCTGTGGCCGGGCTCGGCAGAGGCAGGCAGCCCCTCGCCAGCAGCCTCCTGCCCCACATGTGCAGACGAGCTGGGCACGTCCTGGAGGCTCCTGCGCCCGCTGCCCCAGCAAGGAGCAGCGCACTGAGGCCTGGCTCCGAACCGTGCCGTCTGGAACCGCTACTGCCTGCAGATGGCAACAGCACCAACCGCCTTTAGTGCAGCTCAAGGTGGCTCAGAGTACCAAGCTGTCTTTCCAGACGAATTAGAAGTTGGCTATATTTAACTTTTAAACACCAAAATTGTGGAGAAAAGATGTCTGGCAGAATGAGGCAAAAATGAGGAATGAGGAAAAATAACTACCTTAGAGACGTACTTTTTAAAACAGTAGTAACATTCTGTCAGTCCCTCTGGAATCCATTACAATGAGGGATTGGATCCATTACAATGAGCAGAGGCATCACAGCACTGCTGTAATACACACAGCTTTGCACATTGAACTTGCATTCATGTTTTGCACAATGTGTCACAAGTACATGCAACAGGCAGAACAAGCATCTCCCCTCAAAAAACCCACAACACTTTCAYAGTAGTGCCATAGATTTTAGGCAGTAACTTAACGTACTATTCAGGCCTGCTAAAAGYGACATACAAGAGAAGCAGTTATCACAGCACCCGTCACAAACGCACAAACCCCTGAGCATTACCACTCCAAGCATCCACAACAACAACCCTGGGGACGCCCGCGATGTCAGAGTGACGTCGGGGCGCGACTTCATCGCTAGGAAGCGATGCCGGGGCCGGGGGGCGCAYGTACCTCCGTCGAGGCTCCTGGAGACGCGCTTGCTCGAGGTGCGCTCGAAGTGCGGCGCGGGCCGGTCGATGAGGTTGCTGGCCTGCCGCGTCTGCGCCTGCGTGCGCCCGCTGTAGCGGAACTTGGAGCCCAGCGTGAGGAACTTGGCTTTGGGAGGCTGCTCCGGGGAGAGAAGTCTGCAAGGTAAACAGGACAGAAGTCAGGTGGGAAAGGCTTTCTTTTAGACATTCAATGAGATGCTTCAAAGCTCACAGCTTTAGTTCACCAGGCACCGTTCGGGCACCTCAAGAAAGGATTAGGCCAGAAGCACCGGGAAGACTTCCAAAGCTACGTATGTTATTTAATATTTGCATTTCGTGATGAAGTAATGCTGAGAATCGTCCCATATTCCACACTGTGATCAAGTATTTGGGATTGTCATCTTGAGGTGCCATCTCAGTTAAATGCTATGGATGGCTGAGGCCATGTAAAACACCTCTTAAATCCTTTTGCTTAGAACATTACTTATTGTGAGAACTACACATTTTTCTTTGACTGTCCTTCCAAAATTTCAAGGTTCAACTGTTATTCCTCAAAGTCAGGGAATGAGGACTGCATAGAAGGTTGTAGCTAGTTATAAAAGAATGGGATATTCCTGCAAATGACTGGTGAGTTGGTGACCTAATAGGAACAAATTCAGCAAGCTAGATGCAGATTCCAGTTTCTTTATGTCACAAAGATTTATGTAAGTTGATGCTTGGTGACATTGGGAGGAAGCATATCCTGGCAAAGGTGAAGAAGAGATTCAGATGCGAGTGCTATGAGCAGTGAGTTCTGGGCTACGTCTGCTTGCATCCAAGTGCTGCTGTCAGCATCAGAGCTTTGCTATGATGTACTCTGCTTCTTCCCACCAGAAAGCACCAACTGTAGAATTTTGAAGAGAGGCCCTCTGTCCTTCCTTATATTTCATCAGGATAAGGACTTTGAGCTCCAGTCTAGCCTGTCTCTCATACTTTAACACCTGAGCCATCAGCTTCAACACAGAGGGTATCGATGGCTCCAGTGCCATCCTTGATGACAGCACCAACACAACCATCTCTGCAGGATCTCTTCTTGTTTTGGCTTCTCTAGAAAGGCCTTTGACATAGTGTGGAAAACACATGCTTAACCAGGATGAGCCTTTCTACGTCCTATTCTCCTCTATATAACACTGAGGCACTACTCCAGAAAGAGCTTCCTGACCTGAAGAAGTTACTGAACACCAGCTTCTTTCAGTGGAGCAAGCAACTGATATGTCCCTTGTATTTAGGGTGGCACAGCTGGGCAAGAGAGACTCGGCCTGCTTCTTTTGAAGCATTTTGCATGGAAAATACCTGTCAGAGGAGTTGGACCCAACATCCTTTTGAGACTGTTTCCAAAAGTGGGCTCTGAAAAGTGTCAGACATTCTAAAGATATTTTACAAAAAATGAACAAGAACAGTGAAGTAAGGTGGAATGCTAGTCTTTCCCCTCTAAGTAGTTTACAGCTTTGTCACGATCCAGAAGCATCCAAATCCTATGTGCCTAAGATGCACATACATATCCTCATCTGTATAAACACATTTTTGAGGAAAGTGGAATTTTGAAGGACAGAGTAACCCACCCTTCTTCATGACAAGCCCATCTAAAATAAAATTGCAGAATATCTAGAGCTTCACTTTCATCTGTAGTGCAATCTGCAACAATTTAACCACTGTTTCCAAGATCATATATGTTATGCATTGACAGAAATGAGGCTTGGAGTGTTTTTCCAAGGTTCTTTCTCTATTTCCCAGTCTTGGCAAGGCTACAGCATTAACTGATGTTTTTATCTTCCACCCTGCTGAGATAAACTTTTAATCTCTTAATAAGGAAAAAAACAAGAGAACTAATTACTTCCTGATTAAGGGCAACTGAATGGATTTTTTTGTATTACAAGCTTAATTACATAGAATAAGTTAAAATTATGCTGCACCATTTTAAGAAGGTCTGGAAAGGCATTAAAACAATTACAAAAGATTCAAATAAAATATTAAACAGTTATAAACAGGTTTCTGCTGCTGTTCAGTAAGATCCGAAATTGCAATCTAAGCTTAGCTAAACAGATTARTGTTGAAACAGAGTCTGACAGCATTTCTTAAAGCAGGTTGTTGCTTTGTGAAGATATTACTGGCATCCTATAAGACTGAGCCAATAAAAATGAATCCAGTGACTTTTAGTTATCAGCTTTGTTACAGCTTATATAAAAATTTTGATCTATAATTGTATATTATTTATATACACTTATTAGTATAATATTTTATATTATGCATTAGTAATTAATTTTTATTTGTATAACTTTTTATATTATGACATATATAAAAAATCAGCATGCAAAGATGCATATTGATGTAATTATTACTTGAGTAAAAACTGAAGCATTATGAAGGTAAAACAGAATTTTTATATAACATCCTATGATGATATGTAAAAATACTACGAGGTCTGGGAACTAAAAACATACATCTGGACAGCATGCATTTACTGTGGTGTCACATGCAAGTAATACGTATAAGCCTGGAAAAAAAAGCTACATTTTCTTGGACTACAGCAACTGCTTTCTCCTGTTTATCTCCAGAGACAAATAGAGTTGGATTTATTCTACTGTTTTTAAATCAGGATGAGAAGTTCTGAAGATTTTCTGTCTGATTACATCAGCGGAGTATGTGGATTTTATAGAACAGCTGCAGAATTTGTTATTTAATTTATTGTTAGAATGTCATTCCYGATTGGGAAAAGCTACTCCTGATAGGAATAAAATCCAATTAAATTTGGAATTAATTTCAGAATTTCTATTGAAAGATTATGAAGTACTAAAGGTACTGAATTTTATGTTTGCAAATAATAATTCTCGATTTTGCATTTTTGACCTCCATAAGATTTTTTCCCACTTAGATCTATTTTGTTACCATTGAGTTTGGAAATAAAGTTGCCTGGCAAAGCAAGCTACTGCATAAATTATTTCAATTGTGCTGATTTATTTGATYGACCTTCTAATGCAGACAAGATTTGCATGCCATTTGTGGTATCAGACTTCATCAGCCAATTCAGGTTTCCAATTTTAAGAGAGTATAGAGTGGTGATCTATCTATCTATATATATATATATATATTTTTTTTTTATGTATTTATTTACAAATTTAACTAATGAATCCTATTAAAAATAAACTTTGATTTTTTTCAGGAAAAAGTGCTTCTAAATCAATTATTTAGAGAACTATTGTCTATAGTGTTTGTACAAATTCTAACACAGAATTCAAATGTATTCTACACTCSCTGAAGAACTGAACTGTTACCTACCAGTTACTGAATAAAATGCAGAGAAAGGTATGCATTTAGATAAACAGACAGTGCTCTGTTCTTTTAAATGATTCTATGTTCTTTGAAGAAAGACAATGGACTCAGTTCAGTTTATAAACAAATACAAATTCATGAATGAAGGTCACTGCCAAGCCCCAAGAGCTGCTTTTGAAGGAGCACATGGGCTTTGCAGGTAGCCAGTCTGAAGAGCCGAGTCCTTAGGAAGGACTGTATATGATCACTAGTTTAATTCCATATGATTATCATCCTGCAATGCAAATGAAATGCAATGCGAAAGATCTAAGCAGCTAGTTACTTTGCATCAATGATTGGTAGGGTCTTTTCAGTTCAAGAGGTGTTACTGCTCTGAGAAATTAGGGGGAAAGAAGAGAAATTCTGTCTTCTTTCTTCATATCTTTTCCAAATACATCTGTATTTGGAAGTACAGGAGTACTTCCTCCTGTACAGGAGTATTGGCAATACTCCTGGGGAACCTCCTGGCAATGGGGAAGCAGAATATTACCATTTACCTGAAGAAAGTATGGTGCTCCACACAAACCTTCCACAACCTTTTAGCGGCCCGGTGGTTTGGCAGTTTGAACCCAATAGTGCTCTCAAACTGTTCCARCTGGAAAGAATCCACAAATTAATTAACACATATCCTTAATTTCCTATTAAAGAGCAGGYACAGTTCCTACAGTTCCATTATTGGAACAAACAGTAATTTTCTTTTCATAACATTTCAAAAAATATCAGAGTTTCCACCTCTTAATATAATTGTGTTGTCTGGACTAGTCATGAAGAGCAATAATCACATTATCATTTCCCGTACTAGCGACTCCTTTGAGAAAGCCAATAATACTTCAGTGTTATTTGCTAGTTTTATGACTAGCTGCCCAATGTATTTATTTTTAAACTGCAAGAAGTAACGGTACTGTGGGTTGTGCTGCACATTTTACTTGAATAAAAGTCTGAAATCTGTATTACACTACTAATCTTATCTGATTTCATTTAATAATAAATTCTTAGTAAAAATATTACATCTTATGCTCTTCTTGCACTCCTAGATGTTACATATTTGAGTTCAAGAACCACAAAACTACTATGTTACATTTCTGACTTGTAGATCTCAAACGAAATCACTTCATCTTTTGAAATGGAGGAATTATCAGTATTAGTGTAGCTTGTCACATCACATAAAATCTGCYTGCACTAAAATACTTTGACTTCTGCACTTGAAAAAAAACACTTTCTCTGAACAACAGGGTATGGAAATTGCTTTGTGAACTTCATGGGTGCACACATATACACAAAGTGCTCTGAGAAATTACAAGTTGTTTACAAAGTTGTGTCAGCTAATAATCTGTTCATAGAAACTTCAACAAAAAATAGGAAGTATAATATACTTTTAAAGATATTTAAAATGTATCTCATTGCTTTTAAGTGCTACAGTTGATTTTATATCAGGATGAAGTAACACATTTCTTTTATATAAGGCTGCAGGGGAAAAAAAATGTGACCTGTCATTTAAAATTTTCACCCATATAGATCAGAGCTGCAGACAATACACAAGCTTCCAAAAGCAGTTCAGGAATAATTTTAAATCCTTTTCTCAATATAAAATGCCATTAATTTATTCTTATAGTAAATATTAATTATACTCAAGAATAAGTAAGGTGATAGCACTATKCTGTTCATTGGTTTTCACATATTTCCAGTTAAATGTGTTTAAAATAWAAATGTGCCTCCCTCAGTGGCTCCCATAAACATATTTGAGTGTCTGACAAGCAAGATGAACTTGCAAGTTCCATACTGCCCAACAGAAAGGGTTATAAAGCCCTTCAGGACAACTCAGGCCGTTGGTTACACCCGTATGACTTGGTGCCTTGACATTTAGTGAACAATTCTACTGAAAGGAGGAACAGAGGCTGCCTCTCCCCCAGCACCRTGGGCTTGTGTAGCAGGAAGAGTGTGGCAGTGTTATTAGCTTTTATTTTAAAAAGAAGTCACAGGCATCTCCTAACAGGAAAGGATTTTCTATGTGGTATGCATCTACTAACTAAAACTAGTACTAAATGTAAGCAGTAGAATCTATAGAAGAAAGTAAAATGCTCAATCCCAAGTTTAACCACGGCTCAAAACCCAGCATAAGCTTGTCAGGAATCATCCTGACCTGTGGAAGGGTGGTGTGGGGGCGGGGGAGGAGAACAAAAAACCCACCCCCGTTATCTCGGTGGGTAGAAGGTATCTCAAAGGAGTAAAGTGTGAAGGAAAGTGTTACTTACTTCTGCTGGCCTGACTTTGATGTAGAAATTACTTCGTTTATAGGAAATTTTCAGGATTTTTGGCCAAGCAAAGCGGTTGATACGGAGTCTGTCTTTGTAAATGAGCAGTCCATTCGCACACACACCCAGCATGATATCCACTCCTTCAGAATCCTGCCACATGAGAAACCGTTTCATGAAATCTGGTTTAATAAAGTGATTATTTCTGGCATACCTTGAGAGAAGAATCAAGTTAGGCCTTGTTTCATACGAAGACCTGAAAGACTGTGCAAACAAGATTCGGAAACCAGAAATAGTTAAGGAAGGTTTTGGGACTTCATAGTGGCTTTGGCGCTCTATTGCCATATGCCACAGCTCTGGGGACCTATTTGATATTTTGGCAGTAGGGACTAATTTAACAGCTTAGAAACAAGGTTAATGCGGTGGCTGTGCAACAAAAGACTTCAATAAATATTAAAAAGAGATAAAATTAAAAAGATGCTTTTCTGACTTCMAATATTCTATAAAAATACAGCAAACAGTGATCTGGTGATTACAGTGATCTTCTCCAATATGGCACTTATTACTGCAATAAGGATGCAGAAAGCACCAGACAGCTGGCTGAGGACGCCAGCACCATCACTGCCCTGAAGGTGCTGCGGGCACCTACTGAGGTTTTGTGCCCGCTGCTCCACGGACAGCGCTCGCTGCGAGCGGAGCAGGCAGCAGGAAGGAGCCCTCAGCGAGGGGCTGAGCTGCCCCGCGCCGCCCCGCAGAACCAGCGGAAGCCCCGGGCTCCCAAAGCGCACACCAGCTCCGGGAAATGCTCACGGTGCAACATCAATTGGTCTCCAGCAGCTGCAAACAGGTCCTGGCCACACAAACTCTTGTGACTGCTTCACTGTGATGAAGTAAAGTTCCTAAAACCCTCTAAAAATGAGAGCTCCTTACAGCACTTTATACCAAGAAGTGCCACACCGCACRTGGATTAGAATATGAATACTACAGACATATTTAATGTACATGGACAGAAACAAGTAACATTTCCTTCAAATATTTCAAGAGAACACAATGAGAAGCCCATATTACCACAGCTGACAGAACAAAACAAGTTCTCCAGAATTTTCAAGTCTCTTTTTTCTTCTCTTTTAAATATAGGAGTGATATTCTTACCACACATGAATTTTCCTGATTACTTAAGTCTCTGCATGTGTACGAGAGGGAGTTTAGCTAATTTTTATTTTTTTTAAATAAGAAAGTCCCACTAAAATAGGAAAAAACAACCTTTTGATTCCACCTACGAAAAGGTCCATCTCTCACCCCTTCCCTCTCCCTTTTTTTTTTTTTAAAGCAGTCATGATATTACAAAAATAATTATAGATTCTTTCAGGTTTTACTTTGTGTGCCCAAGTCTCCTTGGAAAAAAAAAAAAAAACCCTGACATTTAAATTTAGATACGCTTATGAACAGAATAATCTTTCCAGGCTGTGTATAACTATGTATAACAATGCATTTAACAAATCTAGACTGAAAATTAATCCTGTGAATGACAGATCTGTAAACTAAATAACAGGTTTAAAAATGACAAAAGCTAGCAATGAAAGGAATGAAAATTTTCAATAAAGTGTACAGACTTTAATAGTAAATATGTCTTATCCCAAAGCAAACAAATGAAAATCCAATACCTTGGCATGATGTAAATCCACTCCATACATGGAGAGTCTCTTGGCGTTTTCTAGGAACTGAGAATCTGCCTGTGCTGGAGACAAGCCCCTAAAACCAGTGAATAAACCTTGAGTTAATAGACAAAATAACTGTGCATCAGAAAASCTGATTTTCAGCCATGAAGAAATACTTCTGTTGGGAAGGCGGCAAAAGTCWTGTTGCCCTGAAGAGGATTTATTCCTTCCTTCCTATGTAAGCATACTGTATTCCCTTAGTAGAGATTGCCATCTTTACTGTTTCAAAATATTTCTAGATGTATGATGCCTAGTACTCTAATTCATATGCTGGGATAAACAGATATTTTCTGTAAATATTTCTGATATTTACTGAAGCTACTGTCTCTGAATTACATTAACCACCCCAAAAAAACAATCTCCCCAAACCAAACTCCTCCCTCCAAAAAAAAAACCAAAACCAAAAACAAACAAAAAAACCCCCACACTTCCAAAAGCCATAACAAACCTAATTTTAGTAGTTTTGCACMTACTTTTAAGAGAAGTTGATAAAGTGCATGTTTCTGCACCCAGTAATAACCCCAGGCATCAGTAGAGGCCAGGGGCTGCCCTGCTGAACGGGACCTTGGGGCCATGGTGGACTAGGTGACCATGAGCTGGCAGCGTGCCGGAGTTATCCAGGTGGTCRGGGTACCTGGGTTGCCTTAGGAAGAGTACTGAAGGAAGGTGAAGTTATCCCTGCCTTTTATTCCACCCTGGAGAGGCTGCATCTGGAGTGCAGGGCCCAGTTCTGATCTGTCCAGTAAGAGAGACACACGTTGCTGCCASAGCAAGCGCAGCACGGGGCTGCTGAGATGAAGGACTGGAGTATCTTTGACAGGAGGAAAGGCTGAGGGCAGCACGGGGCTGTTCCACTTGAAGAGGAGAAGACCGAGATGGGATTTTACCAACGTGTATTAGGATTTGGTGGGAGGGTATAAAGGAGATGGAGACAGATTCTTCAGTGGTGCCCAGTGGCAGGATGAGAGGCAAGAGGCGCAAATGAAACCCAGGAAGTTCTGCCTGAATGTAATGAAATACTRTCTTACACTGTGGAGGTGATTGAACACGAACAGGTTGCCCAGGGAGGTTGTAAAGTCTCCATCCTTCAAGATACTCAAGAAGTCTTTGGATAGGGCAACACACTCTACATGACCCTGCCTAAGTAAGTGGGTTGGCCTACGTTATCTAAGGTCTCTTCCAACCTCAACTGTTCCATGATTTCATGAAAGGACATAAATGTGACACAGCACGACAACTAATTTTATTCCCACTGTATCTTGCACACCTGTGTGTTTTGTGTAGCTCAACAACTTTTTCTTCCATTTCTTGAGTTTGATTGGGTGCAAACTGGAATTCACTGATATAATCACTGCGGTGCTCCTCTGGGTCRTAATCCCCTAGTTCAGCTTGCACGGTATAGGATCCAAGGAGAGCATGAGTCACAAAAGAGCAGGGCAGTCGCCCCGAAGCGATATCCTGGCGAAGCTGCAGGCACAAGAAATATCTGCAATAAATAAAAACAAGAATAGAAAAAGAGTTACCCATGGCAAGATTTACAGGAAAGATGGCAGAATTTCTTCACATACAGTTGGTCACAAACAGATTTTCTAAAGCAACAGTATARTTACACCTGATCCTATTTTTGAGCACTATTGCTGCATAGTAGATTGACTTCACATTGAGTCATCATCATTTTCATAAATAATCTGAAAAAGAATAACTTTGATTTCCAGTGCCAACAAAAAAACACAGCTATCAAACCAAGCTCACTGCTAATTCTGAACCAAAAAAAAAGCCTATCTGAATTTTCCATAATTTGAAAAAAATCACAGTCACAGACTCAATTCTGTACACTCTGCCCACTGGTTATATTAGTTTTAGAAGAGTACTTTCAAGGTGTTTACAAGTTCTCAGTGGGTATCAGTGAAAGACAAAAGTTGATTTTTTTCATGTTTTGTTGTGYTTTAAGGATTTGTTTAGTACTTGCATAGAAAACACTGTTTTCAACAAGCAGGCATAAAAAACTACTAAATTACCTTGGACTTTTTAAGCTTTGCTCTTAAAAATGAGCCTCCACACATGTACCTTTAGTATATAGCATATGCCTGCTATAAATAAATCAGCAGCCCCACAATACACCACCAGCTTCTTTCAATAAGATCATTCTTATCCTACCTTCTCTTCCTTCCTTCCTTCCCCCTGAAATCACATCCCAACTTATTAAATTCCTCTTCCTGCAATGTTTCAGTTTGCCTTTAGGGATTTATGTTGACCCCCTTTGCATTTCTCCACAATCACTTACTTGTTCCCAGCAGCAGTTGCTACCACAGCTTCACCCCTTGAAAAGCTATTCTAATTGACTCTTAACCAGTCCCGCACAGAACACGCTTATCCAGGTCGCTTCTCATGACATTGGCAAAGGCCTCTCATTCTAAATGAATTAATTTTTGCTAGCTCAAGACGCCACTCATATCAGGCTCTCCTCATCTCCCCATTCCAAAAAGCAGTTGACATCTGTAAGTATTCTACAGTAATAGTTCAATCTGTATGCCATGGCATACAGATTCCCCAGCAYTTCCTCCTTCCCCAAAAATTCTGTCATTTGGAGATCATCAAAAAAAAACAGCATTTAAGTCATGAACTGTGCATACCTGGTGATGTCTTCAGTCAGCTGTGAAGGATCAGGAGGATAAAACTTCACATTAAAGGTGAACAGCCAAGGTAAACCTAAGCATGGGGAAAGCCTCGTTGTTATTCCRAAGAACTTTAAACAAAAAAAGAACCTTATCCAAAGCTGTCAGGTAATTTCATAGATTTTAAATCACTGGACTGCTAAAGAAAATTTTACTTTTAATAGTTTATTAATAAGAAGTATAGATTATCTTCATCACTACATAGTAGCTCCTATAGTGAAGAAATAGAATCTTAAAATAAAGTTTATTTAAAATAAAGAATCTTAAAATAAAGTTTCTTATGCTTTATTCACATTAACTTACATAAATATCCAAAGTGCTTCATTTGAAAGCTACCATATTTTAAGACCTTTGAGGCAGCCTGTGTTCAGCTTATGAATAGGTGTCTGCAATGAGTTCGCAGTGACTTCCAAAGCACTCATGCTCCCACCCTGTTTAAACTGAGAGAAGCCGAAAGCACCGTACAAATGTGAACATTAGACCTAAGAGTGAAATGTGTTGCATACAGGGGAAAAATATAGTAGTAAACTAGTTTTATTTACACAGAACATGTAACAAAGCTGCTCTTCTTTTTGGGGGGATATTAAACCAATTTTTTAAGGCAGTTTTAACAGCAACTGCACTTTAAACTTGCTCTTATTCTACTGATTTGAAATTACGAGCAGCATCTGTATCTTTTCAGTAAGAGCATGCTTACAATCAGAATAACTGTTGGACAAAGCACAAAATGCTGCCTTCAGTCATATTGCTAGTTTTAAATTAGCCCTCCAATCTTTAAAAAAAAATTCGTAAGTAATGAAAATCAATTCTTAGAAYATTACTTTTTCCAGACCTGTAATTTTATGCAAGAGAAAATATTTTACTGGAAAGTACTAACAACTTGACAAATGTAGAAGTTTCCAAATAGAACCTTAGTACAAGGCTGGGATACATACATAATAGTATGTATGGAAAAACTAGGAAATAAAAAAAGTTATTTAATTGTTTGCTTTTACATGTTCCTTCAAAGCAGATACAGTTAAGCTTTTTCATATCTTGCCAAACAAAGATAACACTACAATGCTGTCCAGCCAAAACCAGCACAGACAGATAGGAAATCATATTATATTACTAAAACAATTAAAGTGCTTTATTGTCTCAGCTTATCTTTTTCCTAATGCAAATGCATATTCAATGAAGTCTTCCTGCAAATAACCTTCTATTAAAAAAGAATAGACATTTTGTAAGGCTTGTTAATGATGAACATTTAACAGTAAGTAGAGCTTTAAAAAACTGTTTTGCACACAGAAGTCATGCTTAGAAAACTGTGCATTCTGGCAAAAGATTTGACAGATCCATTTCCAAGATTATGCTAGGGAAGAGTGCTGAAATTGTTTATTTTTTAGAAAGCTATTTTAAAAGTCCAAAGCTGTTACAGGTGAAAAAGTCCTTTATCTAGATAAAAATTTCTGATGCAAATTTCAAAAATGAATTCAGATTTTCAGATTCAAGTWTTTATTGAAGCATTTTAATTTCCATAAAATTCTGTTTAAATGTGAGCTTTTTTGTTTTGCCACAGGCTGCACAGCTACTCCTCTCTTTTGAGAGCTGAGGATGTCAGAGCCTCTTCATGTGCCTGCAAACAATTTGTTCCAACAACGAGAGCTTTCCTTACAATGTAGGGCAGGACTCCTTGACTGAGAGAGTCTCATTTATCCTATGTGCAAATGGTCTCTGGGTACCATTTGCCTCACGGCATAATCTAATACACCACAAGACAGAATTAGACCAAGAATACCTTGAAAAAAGCAGATCTAGTAACATCTAATAGTAGCATGAAAAAAAACCCTACTCCCATCATTTAAGAGAACTAGTTTTATTTAATGAAATTCTGCTAGTACTGAATAAACCAAACTGGCAGAGAAAAATAATTGGGATGAAAAGCATTCCTGTAAAGAGTGCTCAGGGAGAGCTGTCCTAAGAAGGGATAGCAAGGAACGAAGGATGACTGACGACTCCTTCCACAGAGGGGCTAACCTGCATTTACAATGTTCTCCTGAATGGTATGAACTATTTTTCCTGGTCTAAGTCGCAGTTAAAGTAGCCACAGGTTAACTACTGCTTAACCTATTTCTGTTTCTTCTCCCCATTTCTACAGCTCCTCTTCAGAAGGCAGAGTAACGAGGCAACCTGCACATTGATCAAAAATCTCTATCCTCTGCAAAAAGCTCAAAAGAGCATAAATCCTCAAATCTAAAGACTGCACATTTCAGATGTCCACTCAAACTAAATCCTATAACTAATCCATAGATAAAATGTTGTACTTGACTTTCTACGTAATCTCTGGACAGTTGGTAGACTTMTATTTTACCTGATTACTGAAAGCACATTTATCCTCCAAAAATAGACTAGCAAGTATGTTACACTGTTTGTGTACAGTCTATTTTTATTTATTATAGCTGTGTAGCACAGACATACAAACAATAATTGTCCTGGTGCAATAATGCACACTATTAGTGGTGCTTTGAATTGGTGGTCAAGACAAAAACAAATCCCACAGACCTGATATTTAAAGTGGTATTTAACATTCTGTCCCAGAGAAGGCTTTCTGTCTTGAAGCTTAGTAACACAGAGAAATGTCAAACATTTTATGGCCAGATTGTTACCTCAAAAATGCTTCAGAGGCAACTTTAGGCACATTCTTAGAGAAGAATGCAATATAACCAACCAACAGCATTCAATTAACATGATTCATCACATTCAAACTGGGAACCAGTGGGTTTTTTATTCCTGTAAATGCTTTTTGTGCCATTTACTCACGATATTGCTGTATCTCAGCTAACATTTCTAGAGTACTGTGTGACTGAGACAGATAAACTGTATCTGATACAGATAAACTGAGAGATATAAATTTTTCCTTCAAAATTAATAAAACTACTACTTCTGAAGTTTTGCTTGAATCACCTTTGAGAAAATAAACAACATAAGGAATAGCCATATCCAACCCACACTTCAAGACTTTAAAAGTCAGAGTCTGGCCATCCTTATGTCACACTGACAAGAGTCAGCTCCAGCTCAGCTACCACCACATTGCAAAAATCCTTCTTTATCCTTAGTGGAGATAGAGCAACTTCCACAGGACAACTCCTCTCTTTGCACATAGTGCTGCCAAACTCTCAGATTGCGGCACACTGTCTCTCTCAGATTTTACGTGTGAATTTATCACCACTCGGCGTTGTGGCCAATCTGAAAATATATATAATTATATCAATAGCCTTGCATTTCATTCTCTTTCCTGGGCAGGAGGGTGGGTAGCCAATATTGTGGAATATATTACAGGACCCCAAATGGCAAAGCTCCATGACTCTCTAGGCCTCCTTCAGTTGCTGCCTGTGTCTCACGCAAGGTCGGGGCACACAAGGCTCTTCTTAAGTGCTCCAGTACAAATGACTAAGTGCCCACTGAAAATATAGAGCAGAGTCTCTCTGAACAGTCTTCAGAGTCGATGAAGAGCGAGGTTTGCACTTAGATCTCTGGATTTGCCACAAGCTGCTTTAACTACTGTACTCCCCAATCCACTCTTCATAGAAGCAGATTCTCTTCATCCCCTCAACAGCTGAAGTGAAACAAGCAACAAGGCAAGTCTGCTGTTTTGACTCTCCACTTACTTTTTTCTTAATGAAAAATTAACAACTCACACCYCTTTTCTACTTTATAAGCATACCGTTCAGTCATCATCTGGACTACTGACTTCAGGAAAAGTACTTCTGTGCAAAAATAAAGGCAGAGAACATCTGAATTCAGAAATACTTACTTCGAATTTGCCTCTTAATTTCCTTTGAAGGATCTAGCCAGTTCTGAAAAACAAATAAAATATATATATATATGTTAAAATCATTTCAYGCTGAAGATAGTGATGTAACTGCTTACTTCTCAGCTAAAGCTTAGATCTGTTCCACATTAAAACATCCCAGAAAATCCTGAAAGTAAATGTGTGGTTTGTTAGTGGGTCTGCCTCCACAGGCACATAACTGAACCAACRTTGATGGTCGTCCTATTACCTTAGACTACGCTCCGTAATACTGAGAAATGAATAACTGGATGCCATTTTCTCATTTTATTGATTTCTTCTTTTATTAATATAAGTGGCCATTTCCAGAAACAGCTAATCTCTGGAGTTACTGACAATGAGATTTCTCTTGATGTCCAAAAATATATTTCTCCCCTCATTTGTATGTTCATTTTAGTTCTGATAACGCTCAAAGCAAAGTAGAAAAAAAAGGTTTTTATTATTATTTTTAAATTTTTGYATCTCCTCCAGGTAAAATTCTCTCTGAACAAGTAGAATTTCAACATTGATGCAAAGGCAAGRTTCAAGTTTAGATGCTCAGCTCTGCTTAAGAGTTGTCTTAGATCATTAAGTGTTTGTTAGGCAAATAAAGCTGTCTTTTTCAAAATATTTGTTCTTGTAACACCAAAAATCCTTCACTATAACTGGTACAACATTAAGTAGCTCATAGCATTTCAGTTGAGGAATCTCTTTTTATGCTGTTACTGATCACCCAAAATACAACTTCGGAAAACAGGACTGAGAAATGAGCAAGATGTATTCACCAGTAATTCAGGCAAAGTTGTTTACTTTTACCTATAAGTGTTACGAAAAAGATTGGGTAAAGACTAGAATACAGGCCTTTCTGCTRTAGTTAGGGAAAACTTAGGTATGTTTACACACTTATTTCCAGTAATCAGACACAGAATCCCAGAATGGTAGAGGTTGGAAGGGACCTCTAGAGATCATCTAGCCCACTCCCCCCTRCTCCAGCAGGGACACCCAGARCACGGGGCACAGGGCGGCATCCAGGTGGGTTGGGAGACCTCCAGAGGAGGAGACTCCACAGCCTCCCTGAGCAGCCTGTGCCAGGGATCTGGCACCCTCACGGGAAAGAAGTTCCTCGTCATGTGGAAGACGGAACTTTGTGTGTTTCAACTTGTACCCATTACCCCTTGTCCTATCACTGGCCACCACTGAGAAGAGCTTGATCTCATCTTCTTTACCTTCACACCCACCCCTCCGTGGAGCAGAGGCACCGTGAGCGCTGCTTACAAGCCGCAATTCAAGAAGCAGGAGGTGGGGAAGCGCCAGCGGGCGAGTGCCAGGCTTGCATTGCTACCAGGCACTGCACCAGCAACAGCTGGAAGGCCAGAGGGCCCCTCAGTGCCAGCAGGAATGTTGCCAAAAGGGAACCTCCTAAGGATACGATTCCTGCCTGAGGAAATAGCCGGTCACTTTATACAGGACCTCGCTTCTCACTCCACGGTGCCAAACATCGCCCTGACCAACTCTTCTCCAACGYGATAGTCCTGACAGTCCTTTCCACCCAAGGTTACATTGATTTAAAGAAAAACATGCTATGATGCAGTTTTAKGGGTCTGCATGGGTTAGGAGAACACATAGTTATTTAATAGTTTTGCCCCAGTGTAAATTCTTAACGATCCTCTCTGCTGGTAAAGGATTGTGCTTCRTTGCTGCCACTCCACATACTAAGCTCCCTGTTGCAAAAGATTTTGATCCAAGTCTATTCGGTCACTAATGCAGCCTGCTGACATTCGATAGGTACTATTTCCAAAGTAAGTTAAAATGTATTTATACATGCAACTAAAAATATAAGAATAATTTCTTTTTTTTTTTTTTTTCATTAAAAACCAGCAGCTTTTACATTTCATAGTCATTATAATTCTTCCGGAGTTACTCAGCCATAACTTCCTTACATAAGAAGGGATAAAAAGCATTTCTAAAAAAAAATCTGTGTGTCATTTAAAGGAAACAAAGGAAAATAGAAACGTGACACTGAAAGGCCTTCAAAGTCACCAGAAGTCTTCAAATAATTTTAGCTGAGCTGCATTTCAACTACAGTATCATCCTAGATTTCCAGTTGRAAAGCCATAGTTAGAAAGCTCTTCCGATTACCAAGAAAACTAGAAATACCTTAAAACTTTGCATTTTTCATAATCAAAATAAGTAGAAAGAAATAGGAACAGCTACATATAAGTATAAAATATAGCATGGCAAAGCTATAGCTGAAGACTAGGATATGTGGCTTTCACACAAGTAGGACAAAAGAACATATACAAGGCAGAACATGCTGCAAATAATAATAATTCTTCCTTTATGGGAAATTATATAGCTGATTTCTGTGTTTCCAACTTCCAACCACATTTCCAACTGAGCTGGAGCTTAGAGCATAAACTGTCCAGCACTTCCACAAACCAAGTGCAGTGGGAATAAACCATTTAAGAACTTCAGCGATTTTTCCTCTCCTCTCTCTGCCACTTCTACAGAGGTAAAAATTATTTGTTTAAAGCTGGCTTGTCAACAGATGGCTGGAATTAGTGCACAAGGAGGARAAAAAACCCCAATTGGTGTCATTCATCAGCACTCAGCACCAACTGGGCTCAACATCAAAGATTTGTCATATTTTTATCTGGGAAGGCAACAGATATGGCATAAAAAATGCATTAGAAAACTGGTGCTGCTATGAAAAACAATTCAAATAAACTTAGAGRAAGGTGAATGACAGAGGAAAATTTCAAGGCTATCAATTCTTTTTTTGGCAGAAACTGCTGAATCCAACTAATCCCCCACCAATCCATATCAAAGAGTTATAACCTCAAATAGCAGAACAGCAAATAGAGTTTTAGCAAATATAGTTTTCTAGTTAGCAAGGTAGTAAATATAGTTTATTAGTTACTGAAGAATGGGCAAAAATCAGGCAAATGGTCTTTAGAGAAGGATGAGAAAAAGCAAAACACTAATAAAAATGCATCTCTCATTATCTTGCTCATATATCTAAATTTGTGAAATCTGTGTCAGCAGCACAAGACAAGTGAGGTCCTAACAGCTTTAGAAATCAAATTAAAATGAAAAGCTCCTTCATCTTCAGCAACTAGCAAACAGACAACCCCTGCTGAGCAAGCAGCAAACACTGCACTTGCAGAGAASAAAATTACCCGAATCTCCCAATTTAAATATGAAGCACCCCCCCTTCTCCAATCCACAACTGACCTCTCCTTCCTTTTCCTTCTCACATTTAGAAAGAAATCCAAGTAAATGCTCCAAAGAACATAATAGTTTAATAATTTAGTCTTGATAATCAATCTCTTTCCAAACTATGTGCTCCAAATAGACTTAGAGGTTCTTCCCCTCCATCAAATAAAGTTCAAAGAAACCTACTGGCTGACCTGAGTTTCTTAGAATGGGAAAGGCATAATTTAGAGTTGTTAAGGTGGTTTTTTTTTTTCCCCCTTCTTTTTCCTTCGATGATGATGGAGGGGGCGGGGAAGGTAGCAGGTCTATCTTTAGTTTGTGGGCAGAGTGACATCTGGTCCGTAACTTACCACAGACACTGGGAAAGAAGTGAAATTGGTTCTAGCAATTGAATGCAATTAACTGACCAGGATTTTTCTCATCTCAGCAACATAGATGGCTTGATAAACTACTTCATAAGCAAGAGCAAGATGAATATACTAACAAGAGGTACTTTAAAAAGTCTTACTTGAATATAATCATATCAAAACACCTCTTATAAGCCAAGTCTTTCTAAAACAAGTTTCCAGTGCTGGTTATGAGCTACTTCTTGTCTCATCTTTACAAGATGCCAGTATTTTCATACTTGAGACAGGGTAGGAAAACTACTGGAAAGTCAGGTAGCAGATATCCCCCTGCTCTAAAGCAATAAATGAGTGCATTGTTAGTTATCTATTCATACCTGTCAGTATCTAACCCACATTCCAAGCTTACAACTGTCACTGCCATTTGGGGATTATTTAATCRGTTTTTCACAGTATACATTTAATGCTGCTCCTTAATTGAGTCATTAACAACACATAAGAACACCAAAAAATACAATAAAAACAACGACAACAACAAAACAACTCCAAGGACTTACCTTCTGGTCTGAGCTCTCATAGAACACCAGGCCAAAATAGTCTTTTTCCAGTAAATTGAGATGCTCGCATACTTTCTCGAACAGCACCTGGCCTTTTGCTCTTTTCTGAAAAGTGAAAAGTACCGTAACTGTTTAATTTTATGAACACATTCAGCTGACAAAACAGATTGCTGCAACTGGAGAACAGGAAAATTTTAAATATTACTAAGTCATGTTATAAAGCTTTCTTATGATACACCGCTTATAATTTGAGCAATATTTTTACATAATATTTGTCAGTGTTCGTGTGTCTCTTTTATAAAATACTTTTACATATATATTCATTGACATAGATAATTTTTAGGGGAGGTAAAAATTTATCAAAATCTGACTTGAATGGACAGGTAACACATTTTTACTCCATTTACCCCACACCATTTTYACACAACTGAAGTGGCAAGAAACTCAATCACACATGCAGGAACACGCTTCAAAGCTGCTTTTTAAGTTATCATAAATATAAAAAGTTGTATTCCTTTTATCTCAATTTATCTCATTTTCCTTTTATGTAATTCTATTCATGCATAAACATTTATAGAAAAAAAAATGGATCATTTCCTGCCTGTCRAACTGCTAAAAGGATCCTCAACAGGGAAAATGATCATGATGATATGAGTTGATGTCAATTCTTACAGTGAGATTGTTCAATCATAGCATGGAAAGCTGTTTTTCCAACTACACTGTCTTAGAGAAACCAAGGAGTTAAGTGCAGCACCAAAAGTTAGGAGATGTCCACGTCTGGAAAATGAACTGCCCAAGATGAAGCTCAATGCAGCTAAGAACTGTCACAGTGAGCATTTCTTCCTATTGCTTATTTTTGAGTCAAAAAAAAAGAAAAAAGATCACATCAATACCAAGAACTTAATCTCTCACACACTCTCTCACACACTCTCTCACACACTCTCTCACACACTCTCTCACACACTCTCTCACACACTCTCTCACACACTCTCTCACACANACTCTCTCACACACTCTCTCACACACTCTCTCACACACTCTCTCACACACTCTCTCACACACTCTCTCACACACTCTCTCACACACTCTCTCACATTTCTCATACTGAACATGAATAACTTCTGCCTACCATTCAATACTGTAGAGATTTTGAGGGGTAGAAAAAAAACAAAAGAGGGAGTTGCTTTCTATCTATAAACATGCCATCTCTGAAAGCAACTAAGCCATTCGTCAGTAGTTTACTCCAAGATAAAAACCCTTTTCACAGCAGTTTAGTCTGCCTAAAAATAATTTCTGTGGTAGTCATTAATAGAGAAAAAAGGAGAGTGAAAAAACAACAATAACAACGAGATCATAGGTTGGTTTGATGTTCATCTCAGCAGCGCACAGTCAGCTCCTTTATAGTAGTAATGAAAGGCAGAGACACCCCTCAGCCGGCTGCTTCTGCAGCTTGGAAGTGCAACAGCCTCAGCAAATTGCAATTAATCCTGAAGTTTTACCTGCCTTTCCTGCACCACTAACTGGTAACGTAAACAAGGTTATCCCATCTCCTCCTATTGCTGGTAAYTAAAAGCAGGCCAATGGGCTATTCCTGGGGAAAGGATTTGTTGCACTGGTGGTGGCAGCTGGCAAAAGATGAGAAGTTTTAGAGCAGGCAGCTCACAATGTATCAGGAGGGCTGGGATTTCTCTGCAAGGGTGCAACGGAGCCGCTCACTGGCAGGCGAACGGCAGCACGTGGCCTCGCGTCTGGAATCCTGCAGGCTGCTGCTGCTGCTGCTATTCGTGGCATTTATCTAYGAGGCGACAGCAGGGCGTTTTGGGGAGCCTGGCGGCTCCCAGGCCCTTCTGCTCCTGCTGCCGCTCTCGGGGGGATGCTGAGCGCTGCGGCAGCGCCGGGGAACCGCCGCGGGTCCGGCACGCCCCGCGCCTGCGCCCATCCGTGGGCCTCCGTTTGGAACAGCAGGGCAAAACTTGCAGCAGGCAGAGCTACAAACCAAACATGCTCAGCAGCCTAAGCACCACGGAACGTCACTGGAACTTCCTCTGGAATTATACTCTGCAGAAAGAGACAGCCTGAAGTGGTTAAGTAGCCACGTTGTCGCCTTGCAAGTCTCAACCGCAACTGGGGAGAAATCAGCTATTTAGAGAAGAGCTAGGCTCAAATGAGAACTCAACATAAGCAAGAGAAGTTTGCTGGAATTGTAGCCTGCTTGATTGCATGTAATATATATAATCTTTCCTCCCTAAATCACTGTGTGTGTCAGCAACTGTAACTATCAAAAGCATTTTCCAGATAAACACATTTCAATGAAAGCAATCTACCAATTATGGCAGATGTAGCAGAYGCTATCATTAATCACAGCTCTGAAGCCCGCTCTGCTAATTGTGGGTTAAAARAAAGGGTAAAAAGAAAGGTTATGCACAGAACACATAATATATGCACTTAAAAATCAAATAAGTACAGATAATATCCAAGTTTTTGGCACATGTAAACATARAGTTGCTAGAATTAAGTTAAAAACATATTATGATAATACACTTTTTTTTTCTTTAATATTAGGAAGTAACTGGGTCACCACAGGAACTGGATACTGGCAACGTCCAACCGCATCTTTAAAAACTTGTTTTGAGTCAATATCTTTTGCATACAAGTTTAAAAAAAAAGTACATTGAGCCAATATGCCATGAAGACATTATAGCAATTCAAAACCTAACCAACACCATAGAGAAACAATAGCATCAGAAACTGGTCTTTTTGGTTGTAGATTCAAAAGCCAGGCATCTCGCTATCAACTGCTCTCATAATAAATATGAATAAATATGAAAAAATATACAACAGAAATAAAAAGAAAAAAAAGTTTCATTACCACACACTCGCACAGAATGAGGCAGATGCTCACTGCAGCCCAATGAAAATATCTGTTTTGGAATTTGCTTTCAAAAATAAATGAAAAAGCTTTGATTTCGTTTGATACACTGATTTCTAACCATCTGTGAGCTGTTGATCAGCACGCCTAATGAAAAGCCCAGRCAACACATTGCATTAAGCAATCTGTACTAGGAATGGGTTAAAAAGGCAGATCAAGTACATACCATTTTTCACAACTGTTCAACAGCAACATCAGAACAGCAGCAGGTAGGACCAAAACATAAAGAAATTTCCCTACTGAAGTCAAAAATTCAATCCACTTTTATTCCTCACTTCCTCTCTATGCTTTTCTCAACTTTCTCATTCTTTGTATTTGCTTGTTTCCTCACATGCATTCCTCCACTCTTTTTCCTYTCTCTCAATGTTCCCTTCCTTCCCTTCCACACTACGTAGCTTTTGCTTCCCCTGATCCCTAATTTTGATTCCTCAGCAAAGGTGGCATCAAACACAAGGAAATCTCCTTTCTAACGCTGCAACGGCAGCAAAAGGCAAAGCTCAAACTCAGCCCCTACGCTGCTACCAAGAAAAGAGTACAGCAAGGCTAACATGGCAGAACTATGTACATGGCCTGTGATTTAAACAATGCAGGATTCAAAGCACTATTATTCTATTTTGCCTTTTTTTTTTTTTTTTTTTTTAATGAGAACATAGAAAACAGAAATGTAACCAACGTTATTCCACTGCCACGTTTCAGCCCCCTAACGAACAGATGCCCCCTTGAAACACAGCCACTTCAGAGCAGGTGTACCCAGGTTTCCAGCCTCACCTCCTCCTCTGAAGGGCTAAGCAATTGCAGGCGGCTCGCAGAACGGGAGATTTCCATCCAACTGGAAATTAAAATACGGTATCATGGACCCTTTTGCTATAAAAGGGTCACCATCTACAGATACATGGGTAAGGACTACAACAGTCAAGGAGATTAGTCCTGAAAGGTGTCCTCATATTTTATCTCAACCAGAATCTCTTCTGGCTTCAAGTTGACTACAGACAGGTGTTAATCTTAATTTTAGTGGGGTCTGCTGAATCTGYGTCAGGATGTGTCTGATTAAATGCCCCCGTCAGTCCCCCTGCAAAGCCTTACCTCTCAGTTTCATTCAAACACTAGTCTGTACRTTTGAGACGCCAGAAAGATGTGCAAATAAAAACTCAACTACAGTTATTTAAGCATTTTGCTTAGCAAGTTCAGACAGTTTCCTTAATTCAGGGTTTTCCAAAAAATGAGCTTAACTGTTTTAAGCAAAAGCTTATTTTTACTTCAGATTAGCACACTGTAGCCATACAGTTGATGTCAACTTCAGTGTATTTCAAATGTTCAAACGTGCACAAGATTCAGTCACGCAGCAGCCTCTAAATGTCTTTTGCTTTAAATATTTAATCAGATAAATGGCTGAGTGCAGGAAAATAAATTCAACAGCATCTTCACTTGCTTATAACCTGTAGCCACATAGTTATCACTTATTTTATTAAAGCTCTGCTATCTTCTAGTTAAACATGGATTATATAAAAGTAGAAAACTGGAAAAAGTCTCCATTATAAATCCCATATTTAATCAAGAAATCAAGAATAACATTCCAATGATCCAAGATGAATGAGAATTCTTACCTCCTCTCACAGATAGCTTCAGATAATTTCTCATCTCTTCTAGTATAATGCTTCCATATACTATTATTCCAGTACAGTCTTTGAAAGTTTCTTAGATCTAAATAGGTTTGGATTTTTTTTTTTTGATTGTTAAATTATAGGATGCAGAAAATCAATTTATTTTGTTAAAACGGAGCTAAAAAGTATTTGTATTTTAGATTCTAAGTTAAAAGCCTTAAAAGCAACTTTTTAATAGAGGTTATTTTGATTCCTTATATAACTTTCCTRGTTTCCTAGAAACAAAACTCATARAAAAAAAATSACAGCAAAAAATAACTGGATGCTGAAACATCACTTTAGCAATTTGAAATTGTAATAAACTGAGGAACAGATTCTGCTTGCCACAAGGCTTAGCTTCATTACACTGACAGGTCACAAATCTTTCTGGATGACAGGGAAACTATCACTCTCTACACTGGTATTCAGACAAGCAAATCAGGAGATTTATATCAAAGAAATGAAAGCTCTTCAAAAAAGGTAATAAAATCATAAAAGTAGACAAGAATAAAGAGAGGGAAAGTATTACTAAAAAAAGCTGCAATATCTGCTTAAACAGTACTATAGAAATTATTGACTCAACATGCACAGGTCCAACTGGCAAGCTGACACCAGTCAGAAAGACCTATTAAGTGAAAATAAAGAGTCCCAAGGGCAAAAGTACAAGCAGATTCTTTTCTGATGTGCTAAATTCATTTACAAAGCAATTTTCAAAACGAGAAATATCCGAGATGAGCTTTTTGTGAAGAGCCAAACATTTACCACGACAGGCACGCCCTGAGCAACAGAAAAGGCATGCAAAAACCAGCAAAGAGTAATTTCTTTGTTAAACAACACTAGGCAGCTACAAAGAAGGACTTACTGCAATTATCAATATACAGAAAGTGGCAAAGAAACAATGACAGTACAAGTGTACTGCACCAGCAGCACTTGATGACAAATTCTCAACTATGAAATAACAGCATCAAATTCCACATTCATTTGCAGAGATTTCTGTGCAGCACAGTAAAAGCACGATGATGATTTGCTCTGTTTGATATTTTTCTATACACAGTCACACCTACAGGGCTGCTTTCTCCAAAGGTTACAACCATCTTTCTTAACCAAGCAGCTTCTCTCAGCTTCTTCATGGCACACACACAGAGATGACATGTTAGAGACGAGGCACACATAGGAACTGGCTTTCAGAAACATATCAGTATTTTAATAAGGGTGCAGAGACCAAAAGCATTAGGATTTAATTTACTCTGAAATGTTTCTTGATACCTGCTGCCTGTCACATAGAACTACCTGGGCATTACTCCTCAGATCCCCATTACTTTCTCACTTCTAAGCCTGAACTGGATGCATATGGACAGAATGTAGGTGCACGTGGAAAATAACTGGAACGAGGAGGCACGGGACATACTTGTCAGCACCACAGGCTTGATGAAACGCCTAAGATGTGTTTTCATGTAAGGCACTTCCTGGATCAATGGCAGTGATCTCATTTGTTTCAAAGTGGAAAAAGAAAATGATACAGTTTGGATTTTTATTTTCCCTAAAGAGAAAACAAAAGTCAAAATAATAACATTTCTCCCCAAACAATGACATAGGACAAGCATCATTAGGCTGGGAACGCAGATTTTCTGCGGACAGTCTTGGTGCATGACAGATCTGGTTCACTTTTCTCATGGTTCCAAAAAWGAAACAGCCCTTGTGAAAGAAAAAACTGGATGTATTCTGTTCAACTACACCAAAAAGGCAAGAGGAGACCAGTTGTTTGGTGGGAGATGCTAGGCTTTCAAAGAATAGTCTTATTTCCATTGACTGCAGTATAAGCCTGTATCGTTGTTGCTTCCTTTTCCCCAGGACTCTAAGCACTGACAATGTCAATAAGAACGAAAAATCAAGGAAGGAGAGCAAAACTCAAGCTCAAGGGATCAAATTGGTATTCAAATGCTAACAAATTATTTTGCAAACTTAAGGAGAATTTAAGAGATCAAGAACACAAGATGAGAGGATCCTGCAGCAAGTTGTGCCTATGAAGAAGCACAATATTTACAGATACAGATGTTGCTACAGAACACTTCTGGCAGACAGACAGACAAGTACAAAGCTTAATTTTTTTGTCAAGGTAATGTTTGAGATTGGTCAAAAAAAAGTATTAACAACTATGTCTAAACTTTCTGTTTTCCTTTGTTGCATCTCATGAGACTCCTCTGTGTCCATTTCTCCAGCCTGTTGATGTTTGTCTGCATGGCAACTCTATCGGGTCTGCCAACCACCGCTACCTCTTCTGTCTTACCKGCAAACTCGCTGAAGGTTTGCTGGACTCTACAACTGTGCAGGTCACTAACAGCCCCACACATCCCTCAACCCCTGGGATAAAGCACTAGTGACAGGCATCCACCTGGAGTTCCCACCACTGAACACAACTCTGAGTCCAACAGCTCAGCCAGTTTTCAGGCCACCTCACTGTACACTTTGCTAGGCCTTTTTTTTTTCCTAGGCCTTAATATCTTCATTGAAAATATTATGTGAAGCAGTAACAAAAGTCTTGCTAAAGTTGAGGTTAAATCCACTGCTCTCACCTCATCCACCAATCTAGTCACCTTAGTATGGAAGGTGCTTATCAGGTTTTATAAAGGAGAACTTATGCCTGACAAAAGTCTATTTCCMATTACCTTCTAGTCCTTCATCTATTTGAAAAATGTTTCCAGATTATTTGTTGTCTTCTACTTTGTCCCTTTTTTTAATTCTGGCTTCTGTTCTTATAAAAAACTTTGCTTACTATAAATAATAGGGAAACAAAACTACCAAAAGGGTAGAATAAGTGAGAAAAATTACTCTACCTAGAAGTCTATGATTTCTGGGAGGACTCAAAGAGACAGGGACTTTTGGGTCCTAGAATCTGAATGTGAGGAAGAACGAAGAGATGAAGGAACAGACAGGGGGGTTTGATGTACATAAGGTATTTGATTGCRCGTGGAAGGAGGTGGTAGAGGATGTGTGTGCACGAGGCAGTAGGATGTGAGTATCAGCGTGTCAGAATGCAAAACTGCAGGGCAAACAAGCCAGCAGCAGTGCATGAAGGAGGGAGAAACCAGCAGCCTACCTCCTTGACCTACCAGCAGCTTATGAGTCACAGAATTTCCCCAGGCCGGGAGGGAACAGAGATGAGTACTAGATTCATACTGCTGCTTCCAGTTCTTGAGGACAGAACTCTTGCTACAAAGAATCAATTTCTCTTCAGTGCTCACCAGGGTATTTTTTGCTTTTCAATTGCTTTTATGTTGTCCATGCACATGAAAGTTTTCCCATCTACTACTAAGGCACGATGGCAAAAATGCACATTGCATTAGCAACAGAAATGACGCTTTCCCCTCTAATTTCTGTGAGGGGAAACACAGACGTGGCGCGGAGAGCAGGTGCAGGAACACCCTCCATCGTAGCGGGGCACTGGGGGACACGGTACGGCACAGCAATGGAGGGCACATTCCAAATCCTCTTTGGAAATAAACTTAGCTAGGAAGCTTCATCTTAACTAATACTAGTCCTATTAGAACATAGATTTGCTCGGACTAAAATAGTAATAAAACATACTGAAATATAAAGAAGTTTTTAAAAGATTTTAAATAAATGTTAGTAGCTTTTAATTTATTAGGCCAAGGATGATCCCATGAGCTGCRTACACAGTGCAGAGCATACACACATTTTGGAATCAAGAGGAAGAAAACTTCAGGAGCTACTTATGGGAATGATCTCCTCAGGTTCCCCACCCTCCACAGCATGGGATAACTCCAGGCTCGGCACAGCTATGTCTCAGCAAAACCCAGGAGTGATGGATATAATTACTGGCTCCGGGTTTTCCAGCCGCAGATTTCCCAGAGGCCGCTCTGTTGGCACCACCCTACCGCTGGGATCAGCTCAAGAGCTACAGCTTGGCTCTTCTTGCCTCAGACTGACACCCTGGTGAACTGTGGACATGGCTTGGYTCACGTGGAGACCACTCCATTGCCTCAGGAGGAAAGGTACTCRTTATTTTGCATTAGTTCTGTGTAAAAGTTAGTTATCCTGGAACTGGAGTTCTGGGCCCTGCAACCCTTCCATACGTTGCATATATTCCACGCTGCTAGAGGCAGTAACTTGGATTTTACCAAGAACRCTTGTTTGGCTTACCCGTGAATCCTAAAACGCATGTTTACTGAAAGACAGGGCATCAGGTCCCTTTGGCAGGGGACTTACTAAGTMAGGACTTACTGAGAGTCAAGTAATTTCAAGAAGTTAGAGACAACAGGATAAGTAGTGTTTGATTCTGAGTTTCTTGCAGTTGTGGGCCTTCCCTCAGCTTCTGTGGGAGCTTGTCCATTGTGCAATGAACTAACTGTAACGGCATGTCCTGTGGTGCTGCAGAAAATGGAACAGTGTGCAGATAGATTGCCATTCCTCTAGACACAACTAATGCTTTTTTTCAAAATTGAAAGGTTTCCAAACCTTTTCAAAAAAAAAGTCACAATCTTTTAAAAGTAAAAATATTTTCTTTAAGCCACAATATAAGCAAACTCTAGGAGAACTTGGTTTTTGAGAGGAACTGCTTTGACTGCCACAAATTACTACGAAGTGTTCTGAGGAGTTCCTCCTTAGAAAGAGTGCTAGTGCATCTGCTGCTACACTTTGGATCATTTTCTGCATTGTCCTGAAATAGCAAAGAAAGGAAGGAGAGGCAAGCAGCACTTTCCTGCAGTGAAAATGAAGATTAGCAGGTGGCAAAAGATCCTTCTGTTCAAATTTTTCTAATTCTCCTTCTGCTTTTGCAGAGGGATGTGCCTTTACTGTTTTGTTTGTTCTTATGTGCAACAGTTGTCATATACAGACAATACATATAGATCCTGTACATGCAAACATGGCTGTTGCTCACACTCAAGAAAAGGATGAGCTCTAAGGAGAGCAAGCCGGGACTTGGTGCTATTTCTGAATAGAGAACCACCTGTTATACAAGAATGAAAATGTGTCACTACTAATGTAGAGGGATGGGGAACATGATATTTCAATGGTTATGACAAATTACTCAAAAAATTTGCCAAATATTAACACAGGCTCAGAAACAGAATTAGCCAAGTATTCCAAGGAGTTCACAAAAGGAAATGTTTTTAAACTATTGGCATATTCTTGGGAACACTGGACAGATGAACCGATACCGCATATCACAGACATGAAATCACTTGCCCAATGATTTATTTTTGAATACTAGTGTATGCAGGGCATGAACTAAGAAGGACTTGAAGACTGCATTTTAAAACGAAGGGTTAACCGACCCTAAATGATAGCTGTGTGAACATTGTAATTGAGTTCATTGGATTTACTAAAACAAAAACGCATTTGTTCAACTCTCCCTGCAACGAAAGCATACGGTGCTCACTGCCTTCCCCCTCCCTACCACACAGATAAAGATGTCTTTATGTAAAGACTTGATGCCTTACCTCTAGATCACAGCTGTACTCTGTGCCATCCAGAAGCATCACTTTACATTGCACAGTTTTAATTTTCTTGGGAGACTTCTGGGGGATGCTCTCTGCTTTGATTTCACCTGTCTGTACCTCTTTGGTCTCCCTTTTTTCTTTTTCTACTTGCTTTTCTTCTTTTTCCACTTGTTTTTCTTCTTTTTCCTCAGCAACTTTTTCAACTTCTATTTCTTTACCATCTTCCTTGGCAGGCTGTATGAAAAGCAATTAAACAAGGAGCCCTACTTAATAGTTTCTTCATTTCTTTTAAATCCCACCAATAAATAAGGCATTAATCTTTCATTAAAGTATGAGGGTACTGGAAGAACCACCACCAGTTCTGGAATTAAGGTTTTCCACATGGGGACAAGATACCAGAAACACAGGTTTCTTTTTCCTATCTTGCCATCAGACCACATGTGATGCCTTTTCTGTCCTCCTGATTTTTTTTTTTTTTTTTTTTTTTTTTTTTTTTTAAGTAAGAACTTACATTTTACTGACTTCTGTCTCCCCTCCCACCACTGCCAACACAAAAGAATTTAATGAGAAACTCCAGGAATTAAACAACGAAGGAACACCGCTTACAAAAGCCAAGTAATGTGGGATACAAGGGCTGAGTTTAGAGAAGGGACATGCAAGTTTTCCAAAAGCCAGACTTTGGGCCACCACAGAAAGGGTGTTTGCCTTGAGACTCAGCATCAACCTCATAGGGTGAATCAGCAAAGAGAGCAGCCACATGCACGGCTTCAGCAGAGATAAAGCATAAGAAAATGTAGAAGCACAAAACGTGAGATGGTAAGGCCTTAAATATAATTTAAAAAAGATAACAAGCGGATTAGGTTATTACAGAGGTATTCGTGTGACATACTGGCTTCAGAGACAAAGCTGACTTGAGAAGTTTCTGCCTTCACCCCTGCTCATTCCCCTATCCCTTGGACTATCACAAAACATGTGTTTGTGAGGTTACACTTATTAGTTTGATAAAATTACTGCAGGCAAAAAATAATCTGTCACAGAGCAGGAACTTTTAAAGTCAACTTTACCACTCATATAACTGTACGAACCCACCTGCAAAACAAAGCAGCCAAGTAATAATTGTCTTTCCCTGCTATGACCCCTATACAGCTTTACATGTGTCACCTAAACTATGAAACAGGAGCCCCTCCAACTGCTCTAAGTGTTCCTGAGGTTTTGCACAGTTACCTGTGTTTCAGCACTGCTAACAGAGCGCTTCTCCTCCTTCTCCTCTGCTTTAGCACTGTGCTCTTTTTCAGTTGCTGCTCCTTTCAAGCTCCTTTCTGGCTGAGGCGCCTCCTCGGGAAGCTGGCAGTCACCCGCTTCAATCACTTGGTCCTCCCTTACGGTCTTTTTCTTGGCCTCCTCTTTGGGCTCTGCCAACGTGTAGGATTTTTGCTTCTTAAGCCATGGGGGCAGGAAGCGAGAAATACCCTTGCTTTCAGACAAATCCTTTGCCTTCTTCTGGCTGCTTGGGCTAGTTGGCACCGGGACAGAAGACGAATCTAAAGGTTCTTCTGAGGATGCTTTTCTGGACTTTTCATCTTCTGTGGTACGTGAGGCTTCGTCAGGTTTGTCCTTGGCTTGGCCTGCTCCCGCCTGCTCAGCATCTTTCTTAACTTCAGTCTCTGCGCCAACTTCAGTCGTCATTGTCACAACTTACACTAAAAGGAAGAAGACACATACGACTGTTTACTGCTTATTATATTATCTGTAGTAACAGTCGTAACAGTCTATAGGAGGTGCCAAATTAAACGTACCAGGACTAAAGAACTACTTTACTGCATCCTCTTCAAAGCCTCAGCTCAAGAGAAACACAAATCATCACTGATGCCATATAGATAATAAATATTTTCAAAAATACTCAGTTCTGTGAGCATTATAATTACTTTTGGACCTATCTGTTCCAAGAAAAGACAAAAAGGTGATGCAGGTTCATTCTGGAAGCAAAAAAAAAAAGTAATAGGCACATACTGGGAAAATTTGAGTTGGTTATACTATGAAAAGGAGAGAGAGAGAGATAAATACCTAATACAAATGAGTAAAGAGGAAGGGTCAAAAAAAATGCCATTTGGGAAGACCAAGTGATACAGCACATATCAACAGCAAATAGTTTCTTTCAAAATTGGTAACTTTTCAATCACTCTCAAAATAATTTTCTGACTAAATCCTCAATCTGACTGAATTGTATGTTCAGTCATATATACTCCTTCTACTTGGATTCAAAGTCAAAATAAGCCCGTCAGGTAACATCTAAAAGCTCACTGGTGTTTGTTTATTGTGTCCCTATGCACGTCACACAGGAAAGCATCCCAGAAGGACAGCATTCTCTCTGGAAGGCCAGCAGCTAACCAAGCTGCGTGCCTCAGGTGACATAGCTGCCAACCGCAGGCATCCGGACTCGCTGCTTGCGCACAGACCCCCACGGGCTCTACCTCTCCTTATCAAGGCTTGAAACTACCTTGCTTCTCACCTGAGCGCAGGGCAGGGCGCTGCACTGCGCCCTCCTCCTCCTCCATCGCGCCTTTCACATGTTCACATTCGACCACTGGCTGATCAAGGTCCTAGGATCAATGCTGGAGACGCAGCTGTCTGAACAGAAGGCTTCCTGCCACCAGAGCTTAACCTCCTCCCCGGTCTCCCTGAGCCATGACTAGCCATATTTCCTACAAAATCATTTGCTCTCCAATTAACATATATCAAATATTTGCATTAGTGACACCACCGCGTACAGCTTTGGAGGAGCTGGTCAGCTAAACCTCTCCCAGAAATGAAGGGCCATAAGAACTGATTTTGATAAATCAGTTTACCTGCTTTGCTGCAGGTAAACTGCACCATAACATTGGCTGGCTCATAGGAACAGAGGGCTCCCATTTTGCTTTACCCTAGTCTTGGCTATGAACACTTAAGCCCTAATCTTGAAAGGAGTCTTGATCTGCAGCCTAATCTTAGGATCCTGTTGTTCTATTTGTGAAGGGACCTGTTTCACTTCCACCAAGGACTGCTCATGTTTGCCAAGGAAAGCTCCAGAGTGTTTCTCCGTAGGAACCTACCTCACAGCCAGAAACAGAAACTATATTTTGGGTAAAACAAGGAGTTTAAACAATCAAAATAAAACAAGGGAGTGAAGCTCAAAATCATGGTCAAGAATGCTAAAAAAAAAAAAAAAAAAAAAACTACAGACATTAAAACAGTAGGGAATATGGATGTGAAACAAATCCTAGAAAGCTTCTTTTCGCTGCACTGTATAATCTGCATCTGAATTCACTGCTTCCATTACGGTATCTCCTATTCATCAGCACAAACCAAAAAATCCAACAGGTAAGCAACTCACTTGTTCACGAGCTTGTGGCTTTCACAAACAAATGTGTCCATTTTCACGACAAAGAGCTGAGTAAATACAAATAGCTACTGACAGGCCACATGTTCTCTTGCGCAGTTTTTCATTTTGGAGTTCAGAGCAAATTTGAGACATCAATATTTTTTGATAGCTACAGATTGTTTAATGGGATTGCCAGAGAGAAGGCATCATGTTATGGAGGAAAAAAATTAATCATCCTGTTGAATCTGAAATAACACATCTGTCACATATTCTTCAACTGCTTATTTGAGAACATTTTTATGTATGAGAAATTGGTTCATTTCCTGTAGTGTTTTAAAATATAGTACAGAACTAGTCTGTATTTCACAGTTCATTAAGACAGGCCATCTACTAACAATATACTCACTGTTTTCAATATCTTTAGTCAAAACCACAGAAAAGTAAAATCCTGTCTAAAGCAATCAAATTCTATACACTGCAAAAATATCTATTTTAACTACCAGGTAAGAAGTGAATTGGTTCCTACTCTTGGACATTTTTGTCAAAAGTGTAAACCATTTGTTTTCTATGGAGTGCAGTCTCTTATCCTCATAAAAATCACAATGCAAAGGTTTTTTTTTTTTTTGACATTGTTGTTTTGTAATTATTTCTATGAAAATTTAAAGCTTGCATTTTATCAATAGCTACACAAGAAAATTCATGAATCGTGCAGCTCAAAGCAACATGCCAATTTGCCATAGGCATAGAGAACGTACACACATTCTATTAACAGTCAAAAACGACATTTAATTTCCCTTCCTAGTTACTATTTAGATGGGCTTCTACTATATTGCAATAGCTGAAGAAACAATTCAATCTCAGTGAAACAGAGTAGTAGTTAAAGGGCACTTTTTGTCTTTAAGAACCTTCAGGCAGAAACAAAAACATCCCCCAAATCGGCTCAGTTAAACCAATCTACCATAGTATGATGGGGTCTCCAACACAGTCCTTATCTATAGAGGAACACCAACTCACCAATTTGCACTTAGGAAAAAAACAAACACATAACAAACCAATCTAGAAAGGTGCATCCTTCTCTGCATGCACACATACATCCAATTGTGCACCAATATGTTTCGGCTATCAAACCTAGCCAAACAAACACTAAATATTTATGCATGAACTCTAAATATCTACTTTAAAATTAAGGCCATCATTAGCAGTTGAACCCAAATCTCTGTATTTAATACGTCAAAGGCAACAGCGAGCACTGGCTTTGCTCCCACCCTGGAAATGCTCTGCCCCAAATGCAGGCGAGCTGTGGAGCCAGGCTGCGACGGGGTGTTTTGCTCGACTCCTGTCCCCGCACAGTCGCGCGACAAGAGCTTGTCGAGGCCGATCACCGGATTCCCCTGGCCTGGACAAGGCCACCCGAGCGGGGCCTGGCCGGAGCTGCAGCCTCTTGGTGAGCTCGGAGCCTCGAGCGTGGCCGGTCAGAGGGCTCCTCTGTGCCGGCCATGCAGAAACGCGGCTGCTTTCCACTCCGCTGCTCACAGGAGCAGCTGATCCTCGTCACCCAACAGCTAGAGCTACAGTACGATCCAGCCATTGGGCAGAGGAGCAATTAATGCGTTTTGCTAAACATATTGGTCCCAGGCAGACAGGAATTATTGTTATTTTTAATCGCTTTTCTCCCTGTGTTTGCGCCCAAAGCAGCCCTGACGCTAAACGGGGAGCTCATTTCGAGCGCTGCCGGCCTCGGCACTGGTCAGCAGGGGGCGCCCCCCTGGCTCCCAAAGCAGCGTCACCTTCCAACGGTCACAGCAACAATAACTGCCTTCCCGTTTTAAACGTATTTCCCGGGCTGCCACCAGGAACTTGATGTCGCTGGAGAAGCATTAATAAAATATCTAAAGTACACGTGGTTTCAAAGCCAAGCAGACTGAATTAACGCTCCGTAATGCTAAAGGTGAGAATAACGTGTGTACGTAACGCGTGTGTCTATGCACACGTGTATGCTCACACAGCCTCTGAACACACCTTGAAGACCAGAAAAAGGCATAAAATAATGTATGCCCAGAAGATGCTACTCCTGTAAAATCCTATTTTCTGAGAACTGCCAGAGTGTGCAAGGTGGCTAGTGGCCCCAGAAAAAGCTTAATGGGAACTGTACTCAATCATTCCTTTTCCTAGATAGTTTAAGTCACTAGTTAAAACTACATACATTTTGTTAGTCTACATATCTACATCCATTCTATCATACACTATTTGCAAGCACACAACGTCTTACCAGAAGACATTTTTATTACATAAATACTGAAAATGGGCCCATCTGCAGAAGAGTTTTCAGCGAGCGTGCCATCCCCCCTGCAACGCACAGCACAGCCAAGGCTCACCATAAACAGGCTGCTCTAAAAGATGACACGAGCTCGAAGGAGGCTTCTGAAACAGTGACACTTTCAAGGCAAGTGCTGCAGTAATTCTTTAGATCACTGCAGACAAAAGAAAAAAACAACAAACAGCAATGATCCAGACAGCAATGATGTGAGATACAGAGAAAGATATTTCTGGCTAAAGCTGCCAAGTAAGTGCAGTCTAGCTGGAATACCTTCACAAGAAAATTATCACAGTGACAGTTTTCTGTAAACCAGTGCAGGAAAGTTGCTTCAACTCCCCTTTTTAAGGTCAAAACACAATCTGAAGATATGACTAGTTGTCAGTATCTTGGAGTCATTAAAGTAGCACAACTGCATATATACCCTATGATTCAAATGCTCCCAGCTTTTCTTATAACTTAAATGCCAGTCATCAGTTATTTTGCCTAGTAAATAACTCAGTTCTTGCAGTCCATATACAACAGAATTACCCTCTCAAACTAGTTCTTTCAAGAGGCAAACTCTTCAGAAAGGAAAAAGATTACTTTTCCAAACATATGAAGAATCTTAAAATACTTTATAGCATTAAAACAAGTTGTTTGCAGACAGTACATAGTAGTCTAAAATGCAAGACAAAGCTATTTTCAGATTTTTAAATGAGTTCTGCATCACTTGTGTAGAAGGAACCATAATAATATATATCAAAGCCCATCACTTAACAAAAGTCAAGCTTTCAACCAAAATTAAAACAAATACCTTTGAAGTGCTACACAGAGGCAAGTGTCATTCACTTTGAGTTCCACATCCAAAGGAATACAGATTCCTCTGGAATCCTGGAACAGATATCCACTGTTTCTGTACTTACAATCTACAAATACTCTGGTGTATCAAGAGAAAAACATCTCAAATTCAGCAACTTAATTCAAGAAAACTCTTTCCCAGAACACTTGGGCAGAACAAGTTAGTTCTCTGCTGTTCCCTCCAGCTG